CTTCAAGAGCTTCGCCAAGCTCGTGCGTGACCACCTTGACTCAAGAACGTTTGTTGCCTTTGAGCTTTCCCGTCGCTGTCGCTATTGGCATTGGCCATCGGTGTTGGCTTTCATCAAACGCCACAACTTGCAAGGATACAACTTCGATGGATGCATGTTTGGTGTGCGCGATAATCACGGTAATCTTATGCGTAAGAGTTGGCACATATGCACAAATCTTCATGAGCTTGCATGTCTTGAGCAATACATGTGCACACATGATCATACTCATGGGCAAAGTAGAGGCAAGTCATTGAAGAGTGCCGAAGGTTACACGTTCGAGTACACTGATCTTGTTCACCGCTGCTTCAAGCATAGCAGCTCAAGTCATTCTGCCGCCGTCGCGCAGCGCGCCCTGCCAGCGATCATTGTTGATCACACCATGTCGGCTGACCAAGACATGCGCAGGGAGACCTTGGACATCTTCGAGTCGCACTTTCGGCAGATTGTGGCCTCCGGCTACTACCTCGAAGACGGATATTCTGAGGATGTGGACGCGGTGCTGAATGGCGTCCTTGGCCAGCACACAGCACATTCTGTGCTGGCGGGCCTGGTCGAGAAGAACCGATGGCTAGAGCCGGAGTTGGGCCCGTTGATTCGGACCTCACGGTATGATCTAGCCGCCTTCACAGGTGTGCCCACGAGCCAAGACTACCAAACGGTACACATCTTGATCTCTGATTCCGTTAGCGGTTCGAAACGCAAACCCCAGAGGTTCGATCTGGCCGATCACTTCCAGGCCTATCGTCCGACTTACTGCAAGCATTTTCATCACGAATGCCTCTGGGGTGCAGAGTTGCCATTGTTGCTGAAACGAGCCCGTATTGCCGTGAGGAGCCTAAAGCGCCAGTTCCCAGGCTGCATGCTGCTGGTTGGCGTGGTATGGGCTGGCAACGAGCTCATTGGCAAGAAAGGAATTGAAGCTCAGACTTCATGGCCCTTCGATCATCCTGACGGCGATCACTACATGGAGCTACAGGACAAGGTGCAAGAAGAGCTGGTCGGGTTTGCCGCCGATATGTTTCGATACGGTGTGCACTCGGCCGCTCTCATCAGCGCGCCCGATCCTGAGACCTACAGCTTCACGCGGCAGGGACCCTACAGCGACTGGTTCAACCGGCTGAGTCAGTGGTTCCAGGATGAGGTGTATGGTTCTCAGATCGGCAAGTGTCGCTTCCGCCTAGTCAACATCAACGTCCTCAACATCCGCATGGACTTGCGTGACCAATGGCATTGCGAAAAATCAGACGAGAATGCAAATCATATGTTCTCATTTTGTCAGAGTGTATTCCACCTGCTTATGAGACTCTACGTTCTCGGAGATATCGCATTGGAAGTAGCTGCCACCAGTCCGATGAACCGTCCGCTCGGTGGACTTGAGCTTCGTGATGATCGCCTCCCTCCACATCAGCGATACGAAGAGCTACTCCGAAACCTTGCCGATGTCCGCCACAAAAGGGCAATCGCCGCAGCCGAGCTCACCGCTCGCGCCCTTACCAAGAAGGACGTCGCTGCGGAGCAGCCAAACCGAGGAAGATGATCCAGACCTTTCGGAGATTTTCGTCGCAAATGACGCCACGGCAGAAAAGATCCTCCAGCAACGCCTTGATGTCATGGAGGAAGAGCAGGAGAAGATTGCTGCAGAGCTGGACATCAACCGAGAAACCTATGAGGGTCGGCTCCAGACGCTCGAGGAACTCAGCCATCGCGTCGAAACTGGTGAAAACCCAGCGGCATGGCTCGACATCGATGCCATCGATGATGAGGATGTATCGCCATATGAGGAGGTCGTGCCAGAAGAACATGAAGAAGAAAGCGCACCTCCTGGCGAGGAAGGCTCGGCCGCCATCATTGGCGAGCCCGAGCCCGAGGCACCCTCATCGCCGCCGGCAGCTGGTGCTGACGAAGGCCACGTTGTGTGCCCTCAGTATCTTGCAGACCAATACCACGAGTACGCGTACAAGATGGCCGAGGTCGATGGCGCCTTCCAGCAAGTGGTCCAGCTTGGCGACAAGCAATTGCCGCTCCACTTTGCGAGCGGATGGGAGCTCAATGGCGGGCACCTTTTCTTCGCGAAACCCCTCAAGGATTGGCTCACCCAGTTATCCAAAGTTGTTCGACAACATGACCAATATCTGGGCCTTGAGGTTGACGAAGATGGCTACGCAGACTTGGACGAAGTAGCCAGGTGTTTCGGCCTGAATCACCGCAGTGCCCCGCCGCTCACCGTCAAAGACTTGATCGCCATAGCAGCAAAAGACAAGAAAAACCGATTCGAGTTTTTGGGCATTCGAGAAGGGCACAAACTCGAGGAGAAGGGCGTGGCACTATGGCCTCTGAAGATGCGTGCCGCTGCTGGCCAAAGCAAGCACGCGATCAAGAGCGCACAGGACAACTACAGATCGGCAGCCCTGATGTACTGCAGTCCTGCGCTCAGGCCAGAAGCCAAAGCTCCCTTCATTGGGAAGCCCATCGCCAAAGCGGATGAGATCCCTGTCTTGGCCTACCACCGCACGAGGCCAGCGTGCTGGAAGCGGATCGTCAAGGAGGGCCTTATCCCAGGCGGGGGCGAGTTTGGCAGCGATCGAGCCCATGTCTACCTGGCTGCAAGTCGCATTACGGAGACCGACTATCAAAGCGGTCTCCGCGGCAAGCACCCTATTCAGCTTACCGTTGCACTTCGGGAAGCAGTCGATGGCGGTCTCATCTTTTTCCAGAACCGCTCCGGTGGGATCATGACGGTTGACACGGTACCTCCAGAATACATTGTCTCCGTCGAAAACACCGAAAGCCAGTCCACACTCTGGACCAGGGTAAGCGCCGTTGGCCTACCCGAGGCTGCTCCAGCGGATGGAGGTGAGAGCCGGGCCGCCATCACTGGCGAGCCCCGGCCAACCGCAAAAGCAATGCCTGTTTCCCTGACTGCAACCAGCAAATCGGCACCTGCAAGCAAGGCTGCACCTTCGACTCCACCTACATCCATCGTGAATGTGGCAGAGCAAGATCAACCTGAAGCATCTTACAGCGGGTACGCTCCGCCTGAGCCTGCGGGGCCTCCACCTGGCTTTGATGCGCCGATCACCGCCCCGACACTTCGAAAGGGACGCAAGCTGACGGTGATCCAGGTCGAATGCAGCCAGTGCAAGGGTCTAGTCCTCAGGGGCATGACCCACTGCGACATTTGCTCAGCCGAACTTGCGACCAACACCGAGCTGCCGGAGGAAGCCGTCACCAGACTTTCAGTTCTCCGAAAGCAGCAGCTTGCGAGGGCCGGCCTCGCTCGCACTGAGTGCCCAGTCAGCGACTACATCAAGGCTGGCCTCAACCTGCGTGTGGTGTCTGCAAGCGGCCGTGGAAACATGAGCCCAGAAGCGATCATGATCCAAGACGCTCGCAGCCGGATGAAGCGTGCAGACAAGTGTGGCTTCCAGAGCATCGAGGATCGCTTCGAGCATGACGTCCAGTTCATGGAACGAATGCTACAAATGGGCTATGACCATCGGGCAGCGCAGCGGCAGGATTGGCTTTGCCATGCTCACTTGGCGAAACCGCCGCACAACAAAGCGCAAGTCAGCCTGGGCCTTGGATATGACGAAGATCATTCTCTGGCACGGCTGGCCTACATCGACGTAGCGCCCGATCGCTATCCACAGGCCATGGACTACATTCCTGAGCAATGGTGCGTGATCTATCGCACAAACATCCTCTCCTTGCGTGAGTACATCGAGTACATCAACTCACCTGACTCCCATCGTGGCCTTTTGGCTTGGGACGGCGTGCGTCAGATGAGCCAGTATTGCGCAATGGAGGAGCTTCGCCAGCTATGCCATGACAACCTCTCCGCTGCCAGGCGCGATGTGGTCAACAAGCAGACTCAAGAGCAGCGCCAGCAGCAGAGCAAGGGCAAGCGCAAGTCCTCTACCGGAGGTGATGGAACTCCAGCTTCAAAGGCAAAGGGAGGTCCGCCACCCTCACCGGTGAGCCCACGTGCATCCGGATCAGCATCGTCCTCGTGGGGATGGAGCTCATGGAACTGGAGCGAGTGGGGCGAGCAGCGGCAGTGGGACCGCCGTTCGTGGGACTGGAGCTCGAGTCGGAGCCAGTGGCATTGGCGTTAGTTGAGCCAAGTCTCAACCTTTTTGCCTGAGCGAGCATAATTCATTGCATGACATCCATTGTCAATATGTATGCGGTTTTCCTCCCAAGTCCAAACTTTCAATTTCTTTTGGCAGCGGGGAGTGAATAATTAAAATGCACGTACAGGGCCACGAAGGCAGTGGATTGCTAGCATCCACAACTGCCATGCAGCTTTGAGCCGACATCACTGTCGTGCCCTGCACAAGCCCTCGTGCACTTTCCGCGTCCAGCTTCGGGAGCAAAGCTACCTTAGCTGAGAAAAGTGTATTTTCACTCCATGTAATATGTACATTCTGTACCTTGCACATAGTAGGATGTCATGTCACCTTTACTTTGCAGCTCGCGGCCCAAAGCAGGAGTTGCAGCTTAACGGCTGTTTCTATAGTCCTCACGTGGCGGGTCTGGGCGTGCCGGGCCCAAGGAGTCTCACCGTATCACATGGTCCACGTGGATGTGGGGTGGGGTTCGTACCTGACAGCCGTCCTGGATGGAATTGGTACGCGACTCACGCAGCGGGGGCGTGAGTGCTCAGATGGTCTTTGGAAGGGGGTTCCTGGTGAAAGGTTTGCGAGTTTGGCTCTTCTAGTTCCATATAACGGGCTGCCATGTTCATCTCCAGTGCCTTCCTCGTTTCATATCCACCCAAATTGCCCAATTCAACCGTGATCAATTGATCGGATCTTCTTCTTCTTCCTCCTCCTGCTTCTTCCTCCTCTTCCCTCTTCTTCCCTCTTTGGGATCTTTAGGGTCCATCTTGAACTCCCTCCACTTCGCTCGCCGGGCTGGCTGCGCACCTCCGCTCCCTCCGCTCCCTCCGCTCCGAGGAGGAGGCGACCAACCGGACGGACGTGGACGGCGATGGCTGGGTTACCGAAGCGGAGCGGGCCCCGCGGAGATGCGCGGAGCGCGGTTCGTGTCGGTGGGAGCCTCCATGGTGGCCATGTGGTTCGTCTCCGTGGCGTGTGGTTTGGCGTGTGGTTTTGGAAGCGGAACTGCTTGACGAGTCGGAAAGGGGATCATGTCAGGTGCACCCTGACGCAGTGTGCTGAGGAAAAAGGTGTTGCAAAGTACCCGAAGCCAGGCTGCAGATCCTCCAGAATGTACATCGCATGCAACTTACACAGCTGGCCACAAATCTTTGATGGCTGATCATTGAATCAATGTCGCTTTCCCGAAATCCATCGGAAAATCCAGACAATATAGACATAGATAATTAATATATATTAACATGACATAGTAGACTATATATAGACTATCAACCAGCCCAAATCAGCAAAATATGCTGGACAAGGCTGCGGCTATGGAAACCTTTCCACCACAAACCCTGCTGGTACGTGAGGAGCTCTGGCACATGGGCTGTCGCTTTCTGGGTCTTCGGGGCAACGCCACAAGTGCCACCGTCTTTCGTGCCATTGACCTGAGCTCCACCGGGCAGGTCGCGAGGGCGGGGAGGCGGCAGGGAGGGGGGGAGTGTGTGTCAAATCTCAGAAGAGATGGAGCAAACATCATTTTGAAGACTAGACTCTGGGCCCGAGATCGCTAGGGACTGGAACTCCTTAGTCCTTGCGTCTTGGGAAGCTGAGCTGGGCTTCAGATCCCTATGTGAATCGTCGCCGAGCCACTGAGACCCCCCCAGGTCGCCGCTCTGGACGTGGGCCTGGCGCTGGGTTCCGTGTCGCTGGGCGGCTTCCGGAGCCTCGCGCAGTCGGTCTTCACCGCCGGGGCGGAGGCGCGGCGCGCCATCTTCTTCTTCTCGCGATTTTTTGGCCATCGCTGAATAACTGGGCGGTGGATGCTGAGAGGCCTTCTTGACCTTCGACTTGTCGGGTGATGGCTTGCTGCAGATGGACGAGTTCCTCTCCTTAAGCGCGCAGCTGGCGATTGGCAGAGCCAATGCAGCCGCTCGGGACGCGAACTCTTGATGTAGGTGTATTCAATTAGGGAGACCTCCCAGTTCAACCCTTTGGAAGAAGGGACATAGACGCGAACAGACCAAAACCCATTGGTTTTGGATTTCCCTATTGAAGTGGTGTTGAGTTTTCGCAGTCTGGCTGTACGTGTAACACGATAATCGGTGTGGAAAGGACATTATATAGATTCATTAAAAAACAACAAAATACCTGAATGATCCTCAATGCCTTAGACTGGACAAATGCACTGTATACTGTATAGTGCAAACTCTTCTTCAATTTGTCCATTACTGCAGCGCCAGAACCATCAAAACCCACCACATCCCTGAGAAATGGATCAATGCTCGAGGCAGGCCAAAATCCCTAACCTCATGCGAACCAGCAGCCAGACTCAGCCAACCCACCCCCCAAGGCCATCCCAGGCCGGTGGCGAACCTTGCTCATCTCCAAGTGGGTGACATATCGCTTTTGGTAGATGCCACCTAAGATGTCGCGGATTGAGCTGCTCAGTTAGGAGCTGCTGTTCCAAGAGCTGGCGACGCGGTCGCCGGATGCCGTGCACCAGGCTGGGGATGTCGCTGGATGCCAGAATGAGGGGTCGTGGTCAGTTGGTGGTGGGAGGTTTGGTCCAGTTGGATGGATCTGATGGATTCGGGCCCCAGGATTCAGTGCCCATGGAAGTCGTTCCAAGTTACAAGGGCCTTGGGCCGAACGCAGCCGAGCACGAGATGCGGTCAGGATGTGTTTCTCCTGGCGGTGAATGGCTTGGCGCAGTTCCGAAAGCTGGTGAGGGAGAGTGGCTTGGAGGGACGGCCCATGCATTCTAGGCCAGTTCCAACCTCAAAACCTTGCCGCGTGACCGGGCCAACTTGTTCGAGACCAGTAGACGACAGGAGGCAAGAGTCGAGGGGTTCCCTTTCCAGGAACCATCTTTCCAAAACCCCAGTCAAGACATGGGGGCATTTCATATTATTTCATTGCTGTCTCGAACACATTGTCTCAACTCCTGGAAGAGGGAAGATGGGTACCGGGCAGGGGAGGTGGACGCGGTGACACCACTAGCCTGGAATAGCTGCAACATGAAGTTGGAGCCGATGAAGCTGATGTTCTTTTGAGGTGAAGGTTTTAGGTTGGTGAGGTTGCTGACAAGTTGCTGAAGCACCAGGGAACCAGAAACATCTCTCCCCTACGCACGGTCTCTACTTGAGGCTACGCCGACGTGCGCTCCGCGTTGCTGGACTTCGACACGGTACAGCCTTGGACGGAGGTCAGCTTGGAGGACGCGTGCGGGGGTCCTTCCCAGGAACCAGAATCAACCTGCCTACAAACAGGGTTGCTTGGATGCCAAAGCCGGTTTTGGGTAAAAAGGGGGCAACAAGATGAATCTAACATGAAAGAATCTCGCTTTGCGTGCATTGCTCTTGTTTTTGCGCTTAGTCCCGGCTGGTAGATGCACATCCACAACAAAGGTACACCCACAGGTTGCATACCACATGGACCAGGGATGGTGGCTTGTCATTCATACCATTTCGCACGAGAGATGTAGTATCATATCTTATATTAATATACACATATGGGTGTAATTTAGTTATTTAATAGGGAGACCCTTCACCAATGGGTAGACTGGTCGATTTCCGTTCTTCTACCAGATCATTCGGAGGTCTCCCTACATTGAATTCACGCCCATATATGCATAGATCTGACCACTTTCAACCAAGGGTCAATGTGTGGATTTGGATGTCAGATGTTTACTCCCACTGAGAACTTGGCACCGCCCTTTTCCTTGTGGGTCACGGTCTTCCCCACCACGGGCCACGAGGGAACTACCAAGTGGAAGCACTTGTCAGTGCTGTTCTACGCTACTAGTTACTAGTAGGTTGTAATAGAAAGACAACTGATATCTCTTGAGTCAAAACTCCGTCATTGCAAATGTAGGCCTTGAGAGCACAGTTAAAGCTCTCCCTGAAGAACTGAACAATTCTGACGCAAGGGACCGCTACATTTTGGGTAGCATGATCAACCAGCCACCGCCCGGCACGGGACTTCAGTGACTTCAAGGGCCTCTCACCAAAGACTTTCGACTCAAGGGGCATTCGGGTGCACAAGAAGGACGGACGCACCGACAGTGACGCCGGTGGTCTTCTCGGCGCAGCCTGCACGCCGAAGCGGGACGACGCACGCGTGCACCGCCGTTCTGCACCGCCGTGCTGCACCGCCGTTCTGCACCGCCGTTCACTCCAGGAGTTCGCGGCCTGGTGCACGCGGCTGCAGCTGCCGAGCAGCTTGGTCCCAGAGCTCTTTGAGGCCTTGGACGTGCGCCAGGCGCTTCCCGGTCGGCGGGACCGCACGGTCAGGGGCTGGGTGGACTTTCGGGTCCCGACCCCCCTCGCTAAGACCCTTTGGTCATGGGCCCATCGGCTTATCGGCCTTGGCTTCACTTCGCAGCTTTCTGCCCAAGGGTTGCTGGCTATGGGATAGAACGAACGAGACCGTTGGTTCGCTGACCGGTGGTGCTTCCAAACCCCGAAGCCAGCAGCTGAGGAGCTTTAGGAGTTCCATCCCTTTCAAAAAGAGCGAGCTCATTCTACAGTGGTGTAGATGGCACAAGCCCCAGGCCCAAGATGTCCTCTAGATGGGGGTCGATACAAACCACCTTTTTGGGGATCATCTACTGTACTCTGAACCCACTGTAAGGAGCCTAATGTAGACTGTTGACTACTACACCGGGTTTTAGTCATCAACGCTCTACTTCTGAATCACTTGCGAACGACCTTCTGAAGGCCAATGAAATGAGGTTCAGTCCAACAATTCGATGACACCATTTCACCATTCACACTCGCAACTTCTTTTTCACTACCCCTCGTGTGTATCTTTACTTGTAGTCTTGTGATGTCTTGTGGTGGACATTCTTGGTGATGTTCTGGAACATTGGTCCAGCGGCAAGATGCCCACAACGCTTCTGATTACTGTTTGGGCAACTTGTTTGGGGCGATGTCTGATCATAGGACATGATCAGTCATGATCATTCATGCATTTTTCGCGAGATCCGGTCTCTCTCTCTCTCTCCCTCTCCCTCTCCCTCTCCCTCTCCCTCTCCCTCTCCCTCTCCCTCT